CCCTCAAAGGGTGAGCCAGGAGTTGGGGTGCAGGGCCCCCCTGGCCCAGCTGGTCCTCCTGGCGTGAAGGTAAGCAGCAACCCCTCCCTAGTGGTGAGGAGGTGGGAGGGACGGGGAGGCCTGGGGCGTTCCTCCCTTTGCTGTCTCTGTTTCAGGGAGACCCGGGCCCTCCTGGCCCAGGAGGTGCTCCCGGTCTTGTTGGGTTTCCTGGTCAAACGGGCCCTCGAGGAGAGGTGGGCCAGCCAGGCCCCAGCGGAGAACGGGTGAGAGGCTGGGGCGGCACGCGGGACCTGAAGACTTTGCCATCTCTGAGTCCGGTAGTGGGAGGAGGGGCCCAGGGAGGAGGTGGCTCCCAGTGTTGGAGGCTCCTGGTCTTGGGGGCACAGAGGACAGGGTTCACCTCTGCCACTCTTGCCCCATTTTCCTGTAGGGCCTGGCAGGCCTCCCAGGAAGAGAAGGAGCCCCAGGCCCCATGGGGCCACCAGGAGCCCCAGGGGCAGTGGTGAGTGGAGGTACCCCATGGTCCATGTGCCCAGTTCCCTGTGTGCTAGGGCTGTGTGTGAGGGCGGGAGGCCCGTGATGGCGACCCTGCCACCCTGGGGGCTGGGGCTGTGTGTGAGGACGGGAGGCCTACGATTGGCGACCCTGCCACCCTGGGGGCTGGGGCTGTGAGAGATGGGGGGGGGCCCGCGATGGCCACTCCGCCACCCCGGGGGCTGGGGCTGTGAGAGATGGGGGGGGGCCCGCGATGGCCACTCCGCCACCCCGGGGGCTGGGGCTGTGAGTGAGTGGGGGAGGCCCGCGATGGCCACTCCACCACCCCGGGGGCTGGGGCTGTGAGTGAGTGGGGGAGGCCCGCGATGGCCACTCTGCCACCCTGTGGGGCTGGGGCTGTGTGACGCAGAGGGCCACTGGACCCTGACCTTGCTCTGACCCACAGGGAGCCCCTGGGGCCTCTGGACTCAAAGGAGACAAGGTAAAGGGGACAAACGCTGCCAGCTCTCTCCTGTGCTGTCCCCCTCTAGCCCCCACTGACCTCCCCTAATCTCTGTCCCCCCCGATGGCCCTAATCCTGGCATCCTGTCCATCTCCAGGGAGACCCTGGAGCAGGCCAGCCTGGGCCCCGAGGCGAGCGTGGGGAACCAGGAGCCCGGGTACGTAGTCCCCCCACACTGCTGGGGCCGCTGCCAGGGGCCCATAGGGCTCCCCGCATCACAGCTCCCCCTGGGTTCCAGCCTGAGCCAATGACCCTCTGTCACCTTTCAGGGTGAAGATGGCCGCCCCGGCCAGGAAGGCCCCCGAGGACTTGTGGTGGGTCTCTTGGGGAGAGCGCCAGCTCTCGACTTCAGTCCCCGCCAGCGTCCCCGAGCCCTCTCGGCCCTCTGGTCCTCTTGCCCTGGCCGTCTGGTCCTCACCATGTCCCTTCCTCCTCCGGGCCCCCGTGGCCCTGCCCTGCCCTAGTTTCTAGCTCACTGTCCTTTCTCACACAGGGGCCCCCGGGCAGCCGGGGGGAGCGCGGAGAGAAGGTAAGAACTGAGGAGCAAGGTCCAGGAGCGAGTGGGATGCGGAGGGGTCTTGTAATTCAGGCCCCGGGCTCCCCAGTTTGGGTGGGGCTCACTCTCTTCCACCTCACAGGGTGACGCAGGAACTGCAGGGCTCAAAGGTGACAAGGTGAGTGTGGGGGTGTGGGCAGGGGATAGGGTGCTCCTGACCCTTCTGACTGCCCCCGTCCCCTCAGGGAGACTCGGCTGTGATTGAGGGGCCTCCGGGGCCACGGGGTGCTAAGGGGGACATGGTGAGTTACTTGGGTCCCACCGCAGTTGGGTGAGGAAGGGGCCCAGTTGGGGCTGGCCTTGGGGCTCAGGCCCCGAAGGCTGAGGCCTCCAGCCCTGAGCCCAGCCTCTGACCTGACCTAGGGCGAGCGCGGGCCTCGGGGCATGGACGGTGAGAAAGGACCTCGGGGCGACAGTGGGAGCCCTGGCGACAAGGTACTGGGCGGGGCTGGGGCTCTCTACGCGGTCCTGTGGGATGGGGTCCACGTGGGTCTGGGCGCAGAGGGGAGCGGGTTCTGTGGGTGGTACTGACAGGGTGGCTGAGGTTGGTGGGGAGCTCTGGGGACCCTGACTCTACAGGGTCCCTGAAGGGACAGGAGGGGGTTCCAAATGGGATTAGAGACCGAGGTAAGAGGGACAGTCTGGGGGTCCTAGGCAAGAACCGAGTTGCTGAGTCACTCCGTGAACCGCAGCCCCGGCCCCGCCCCACTGAGGTGTGGGCAGGAAGGTCTGGGGGCCTGGGACGCCGCCGGTGGGAGCCGGGCACACGGCCAGGATCCCGCCCTGCCCATCCCGCTGGTGCCCCC